AAGCTTTTCTTAGTTTTCTACCACCCAAGCCACTTCTGCCATAATCTAGAAAACCTTTCTCATCTCAATCTTTTCTGGATTTAATCCCTAGGCTTTTCCAGGTAGATTGAAAAATAAAAAAATAAATCCTTCCCAGAAACCTCGTAGAGCTGTTGCCAGTCTGTGTTTGGTAGTGCCAAACTGGATAGGCTATAGGAATTAACTCTTCTGCGATTCTCAATGTCTCCTTTCATTGCTGTCATTGCACGCTATCTTGTGCAATTCTACCAGGTGCACACACTTTTGAAGTCCAGATTGTGACAAGGTGTTGGGTTTTTGTTTTTGTTTTTGCTACTTCTCACACCATATCTTGTAGAACAGCAACACTATCAGTTCCTTTCTGGATCCATCCCAAATCACTTTGGGAAATGTTTGGAAAGGGAAAGCAGCCTGATCAGGCGATGAATTTTGGTTCTGAGCCAAGAGTTGGGCTGAGAAGGAACCCTGAGAGATGAAGGAGGAAGAACCTCTAGAGACCAACTGTGCTTGAGTCCTTCTGCAGAAGAAGCAAACTTCTGTCTAGAGCAAGGGCCTTCAAACTTGGCAACGTAAGACTTGTGGACTTCAACTCCCAGAGTTGAAGTCCACAAGTCCTGAACTAATATAACTGGAGGAGGAATTCTCGAAGTTGCCAAGGTTGGAGACCTCTGGTCTAGAGAACCAGAGTAGGTAGTCCTGAACTTAGGACCACAATCCAGCCCAAAATTTCTGTTCTGATCTAAGTGGGACATTTGTTCAGTGAGCCTTGTCCCATTTTACACTCTATCTTGCCACCGTTGTAAAGTGAATTACTGCAGTTGTTAAATTAGTAACAGGTTGTTACTAATCTGGCTTCCCCTTTAACTTTGCTCATCAGAAGTTTGCAAAAGGTAAGTCGCATGACCCCGGGACCCTGCAACCGTCATAAATATGAGTCAGTTGCCAAGCACCTGAATTTTGATCATGTGACCATGGGGATGCTGCAATGGTCATAAATGCGAAAAACAAGCATAAGCCACTTTGTTCAGTGCCACTGCACCTTTGAATGGTCACTAAATGGACTGTTGTAAGTCGAGGACTACCTGCATGTGCTGATTAGGAGGAGAAACAAAATGCTGGCAAGGTCTTCCAGCCATCGCTTTGGCAGCTCGTTTGACAGAAAGAGTGCGAGAAAAAAACATGGACATGGGAGACCTGTCCCTTTTTTTAACACTGCTGAGGTCGATCTCTTTCGCTAGAATCTCAGCATCCTAGTGGTAGAAAAAGATTGGGTGCAGAGGAAAGGAATCAAGGCGACTCCAGTGTTTCGATGCCTGTTTTTCCTCCTGCGTTATGGAGATAAACTGATGCTCTAGGATTTCTTTCAGATGCCCCCCCACGATGAGCATGCTTCGGAGGGGAATCTCCCTTGTTGCCAGGGCTCTTTAAAAAGACCCTCCGTTCCCCGGGATCCATTATATCATCTAGAGAGAGAGTCTTTGAAATTTCCTCCGTGCCTAAAAGACAAAGCATTCCTCTCAATTAACACTCTTGGAGAGTTTTCTGGCACAGGAACTCAATTAACTCTTTGCTGGCCTGACTAATTTCTGCATTTTAAAAAAGTAGTCTGATAATAACAAAATTGGAGCACTCAATCCACAGGGTAGCCATTAAGCCCACTCCGTGATTGTGCTGTCTGCATTCAGACCACAATTACTGTCAGAGCATGGCACGGGGAGCTAGTTTTTGTACGCAAACAAGAATACCATTCATTACAGACCTCCTCTTCAATCAAATACAATCTATACTTTTTAAATGAATATTTGAGAACGAGAAATATAATTTGGATTTCAGAAACCTGCAAGACAATTATTATTCTTTTAAGAACATGAGGTGTTTTTTTTTTCCCCCTCTGGTACATTTACTGACAGACATTGGAGAAGGCACCAGAACTGAGATGGATAGTTTGAGAACTAAGCATTGGGGAAGCAAGTGGCTTTAAGAGAAAGAAGAAGCAAACTAAGGAATTGTTAAGTAGAGGGATTGTTTTTTGTGTGTTTTTCTTACTTTGATGTAACTTTTTAAAAAATTCTATACATTTTGGAGGATTCCAGTTGAATGGGTTCAATTTCTTCCTGACTTGCTAAATGTGTAGAAAGGTTTTAATGTTTTCTTTCCAGATGATGAGATAAAGTCCAGCAGAGGTTTTCAAAGTTTCACGTGTGTTATATTTGCTATAATATATTTGAATGCTACCTGCATTTTCTGCATCGTGTAAGGAGTGATACAAAAGCCCTTTTGCAGAAAAATAAACGAATCCCAAAGCCATGTGAATATTAGGTCTCTCTCTCTTTTTCTTAGATCAATATGTTTCTGTGAGCTCTCAAGATAGCCTCAAGGGTCAATGTTTTTTAAAAAGTGATACTGTAGTATGTATCATTTTCTGCACAGATTGGTTATGTACCAGATATATTTGTTCAATACAACATGGATCTGTATTTGTGGCCCAGAAGGTAACATTGGAAATCATAATTTTGAGTTACGATTGTGCAGATATTTTCCCTTCCTCCTATCTAGACTTTCTGCAACAGAGAATTGAAGTCAGCAATTTTGTATAAAGCGCTTGACCCAAAAAGCATTTAGAGAAGCAGAAGAGAGACATGGGATCCCCAGCCTAGTTTCAAGGAAATTATTAAGCTATGCTGGGAGACTGCCCTTGATCCAATGAGTCAAAACCAGAACACTTCTACTTCCTAAAATTCTGATGCCAGGTCACAGAGATGAGCCACTTTTGCTGTTGAGAACATGCATCTATTCTAAGTAGCATTTGTTTATTGATAAATCTTTTTACTTTCCTTAAATATCTTAAGACAAACCTCCTCAACTTGGTACTTTCAAATGTGCTGGGACAATACAGAAGGGAGGGAAGGAAGGAGGGAGGAAAGAAAGAAGGAAGGAAAGAAGGAAAGAAGGAAGGAAAGAAAGAAAGAAAGAAAGAAAGAAGGGAGGGAGGGAGGGAGGGAGGGAGGGAGGAAGGAAGGAAGGTTGGTCCTTTTGCCAGACAGACCCACTTAAGCATTGTAGTAAGACCTAAGACCAGCATTAGATTTAGGTGACACCTGCTAGTCACCCATTGAATCTCTCTACGGCAGAGAAATGCTCCCCAACCCCCTGCCATTTGCTCTATATGGGTCAATATGGCAGCCTCTGCTATTCAGTTTGATGAACAGCATTCTATTACACTTAGTTAAGGTTCTCAACATGAAGTTGGCTTTCCTAAGGTGTGAAGTAGGAGATCCATCAACGTGCAAAGAGCACACTTTCAGTTGAGTTTTGCCCTTGTAAAGAAAAATAGCATATTTTTTTTCATTGTAGGAAAAGTATTAGGAAAAATGAGTTATCGGTATTACGCTCAATGCTTGAATAAAGTAAAAAAGGTGAAGGCTAACAGTAGTAGTGGCAGTAGTAATGGCAGTAGTAGTAGCAGTAGTAGTACTAATATTAATAATCACAGCAACTAAAAAAAAGTGCTCTGGGACTTTAGAATTCAAACAGACAAGGACGTGCCACATAACACTCCAGACTTAATAATTACCAATGAGAAAGACAAAAAGTCTGGATAGTAGAGGTTGGCATACCTGGAGACAGCAGAAGAGAAAGAACTGAAGAAAATCACAAAATACAAAGACCTGCATGTAGAGTAGAGCAGAGTAGAGTAGAGTAGAGTAGAGTAGAGTAGAGTAGAGCAGAGCAGAGCAGAGTAGAGTAGAGTAGAGTGGGATGGGACGGGACAGGACAGGACAGCATAGAATAGGAATGGAATAGGATAGAATAGAATTCTTTATTGGCCAAGGGTGATTGGACACACAAGGAATGTCTTTGGTGCACATGCTCTCAGTGTACATAAAAGAAAGGTACAAATACATTCATCAAGAATCATAAGATACAACACTTACCTGATAGTCATAGATTACTAATAAGCAATCAAATCATACTAGGGAACAAATAAAAGAATATAAATGGTAAAGATACAAGCAACATGGTTATAGTCATAAGTGGGAAGAGATAGGTACTAGAAAGAATGAGAAGAATAATAGAGTCTTAGTAAATAATGTGACAGTGTTGTGGGAATTAGTTGTTTAGCAGAGTGATGGCACTGGGGGGCAGGGGAACTGTCCTTGTGTCTAGTTGTTCTGGTGTGCAGTGCCCTATAGTAGAACAACTGTGGCAAAACAAAGCCAATAGAGTACCAATAGTAGTAGGGTGCAATCTCAAAACAATTGAAGTACCATTTGAACACCTTCCACATTGACAAAATCATCCTCAAAGTCAGTTGCAAAAGGCAGCTTTACTTGGAGTAGCTTACATCGACAGCAAGGATACCGCCATCTGTCTAACCCCAGTCCTTGGCAAAGACTTGAAAATGCCAAATTCAGTCTAAACATCTGACTGTGCAAGAAACCATAATATCATTTTTGCAATTCGTAAGAGCTGCCTTCTAATCAATCCTTTCTCCCAATAGCACAGGTCTGATCCAAAGAAAATTAAAACCTGAATTTTACAAGGCGATCCAGCGCCCTTCCTTAAAGCAGCGGGGATGCTCTTCAAGTTTGAATTCCAAGGCGGACTTAGCTGAGATTTGACAAACAGCCCGTTCAAACCCACCTTTTGACGTAGTGTGCGTGCAAGGGCATAATTTGCTCGCATCATAGTAAAAGTAGACGCTACCTAAGTTATCTGTAACCACTTTGCAAATGTAACTCCTTTCTCCTCTTTGCTGGGTTTTCTTTCCTCGTAGCAAGAAAAATCCCGCGAGCAAGCATTCCCTGCTTGTGTGCGCCACTCATGCATGGGAGTGAAATGTGTTAACCTTTAAACAATTTCGAAGTTGGTGCAGTTAATAGGCAGGACAGATAGTTACAAAGTCCTGATTAACTACAGAATACGGAGACATGTGAAAACTTGTACATAGCAAAAGAAAAGAGACAGCAGCTGTTACTTACCAGCCCGGAACTCACCGCCAGGTACGGTTCTCCGCGGTCTGGGATTCAAAACAGCAACACTGCCCTCTTTTGGACGAAACGAGCACCGCCACTCACGCACGCCTTTCCCCGAATCCAGACGCCGAATCCCCCTTCGGAATGCTTGGCGCAACGGGAGGCTTTTGCAAATGACTTGAAAAATGGAAATTAGGTTTAAAAGTCGTCTGGGGAAAGAAAAAAGAAGAAAAAAAATCCAAGCTCTACGCACAGTATTATGGCTCTAAAGGGCCCTCTGTGGAAGGGCGTAAGTGTGCAGAAGGAGGAAGTGAACTCTCTGCAACCCATTTTGCTCTGCTTTGTTTCAGAGATCTTGGGCTATCTGAAGTCTTTTCCCCTGGGATTGGCTGCTTTTCTGTGCAGGACCCCCTCCCTCCCCCAATACTCCAGGGTAGGCACACGGGAACCGAACTACCCATGCAGATTCTCTTCCAGAAAGGCACCCAACCAAGGCCTTCTTAAACTGTGAGAAACTTGGGCCAAATAGGGAAAAAAACCATGCAGCGTCTATTTCTCATTCTCATCTACAAAAGAAGGCCTCTTTCTTTCTTTCTTTCTTTCTTTCTTTCTTTCTTTCTTTCTTTCT